AGGGGACAATTCCTTGTGATATTTGTGTCCAGGAGGTCGAACTGCTCTTGCAAAAAATTTCAGCCAAATCTGCCCTCGTGTGCTTCTCGTTAATAATTTGGAATGAACTCGGTCACATTTTTCGTTGATGATCACTTAAAAGCTAGACACAATGCCATTCCATTCAGTTTGGTAGTTTAGTGCTATTTTGTACCAGTCTTTTTTCGTATGCTTCATGTTCTTTTCCTGTGATGACAGCTTTCAATCTATTTATGCCGTTTTATGGGTAACTAAACAGCTTTTCCTAAGACCGAAGTCGCAGCCAAGGTAAGTGAGACGTTTTTCTAATTAATGAGATCGCTTCGCACCTCGTTGATAATGCCTTGCACACTGTGTGCGGAACTCATTAACGAGGTGCGACCGTACCATTTTCCACTGACCCACGCGTCGGGTAGGCTTATGTACTATGGTACGATCGAACGTCGTTAATGATTTCTGGCAGTCAGGGATTCAGTTCAACTTGTTTGTAGCAATTTCCTTCTAGCTCGCACTCTTGAGTGGCGAAGGTGGTATACTCCTCATCATTACGGACTGTCGGGGCGGGTCAGTGCGGCTGCGTTTTCCGCGGTTCCAAAGTCTTTCTGCACCAGTTGTTGAAGCGATCAAATGACATAACAGCATTATATCCTTCGTATTACTCGTTTTCTACCACTTTTTGTCGCATACGCGCTTCAAAGAAAAGGCTGAGAACGGCTTCAAACAGTGTGCGCACTCCTACTGGCTGATACGCCCCGACAGTCCGTAATGAAGAGGAGTGTACATTCGTAACTGCGGACCTGACTAGCACATGCGCAAAAACGTCCGTCAGCGCCAGCGACTAGGAAATATAGGTATCAGTCTAGCAACCAGCCACCAGCCGCGTCCAGGAGTGGAGAGTATGGGAAAGCAGGCGGGTAACAGACCCTTACTTCCCCATACTCTCTACCAAGAGTCTGTTACCCGGGTATGTGACAAGAGAATCGTAATTCGCCGCGCTGGTGAGGGTCGCGTGCGACGTCGCGCCAGCAAATGACGATGGTTCCAGGTAGTAGATGGCGACAACAGGCAATTCAGATTTGATAGTCATGTATGCCTACGATAACGGGGACTACAAGAAGTCCGCTGCTCCAATCTTCATGTTACACGAATTAAGAAAACACCGCGCCCAGCTCCGCGCGATGGAAAGGCAAATTACTATTCTCCTGCCCGTCTCCCCTGTTACACCCCCTCCCTCCCTATCTGCACATACTCCACCGCTGTCTGCTACCCTCTTATCTCCCCTTACTCTCTACCAGGAATCTGCTGTCTTTTGTCTCCCGCAGCCTCCAGTCCTGGACGCTGCTGGTCGCTAGATCGATGCCTTCACTTCTCTAGCCCTCTAGACGCTGCTGATCGCCGGCGGACGCTGGTGGTCGCTGCCACAAAGTACGAACGCACAGTATGTGTTCCGAAACGTATGAATCCTTCACCTGAAACCAGTAATTCCAAAAACTCGTCCATCTACAATTAGACTGCCAAGGAGACCTTCATTTGGGACTTTATCCACGTTTTTTTTCCTCTTTTCTTCATGGGAGAGTCACTTAGCAATTACAGGTACACAGCTGAACACCATTACCCACTTTATGCGAAGTTGGGATTTGCCTAGGCCCTTTGGCTGGCACAGATACCGTTGCATCCTACATCTGTTTGCATCTCGAATATTTTCAAAGTATTCTATGCACGAAATTTCTTTCTGTACACCATCGCTCCCTCAATAAAGTCACCTTTGTGTCAAATACGCCATGTTTATATGCAGATGTGGGTGAACACAAACAGCATGCTTCATTGAGGACGTTTCATCAGAAAACTCAGAGATTATTACGAAATTAATCCTTGAAGAAAATAACGGTAATAAGTGAGTAATGAGAGTAAGAGGTGATATGCCAGTTAACAACTGAGAACAGACGTCATACATAGGTTGAATGACTTGGACCGCAACTCGGATTCGAAGGATGTGTGGTGTGTGTGTTGTGTGTGTGTGTGTGTGTGTGTGTGTGTGTGTGTGTGTGTGTGTGTGTGTGTGTGTGTGTGTGTGTGTGTGTGTGTGTGTGTGTGTGTGTGTGTGTGTGTGTGTGTGTGTGTGTGTGTGTGTGTGTGTGTGTGTGTGTGTGTGTGTGTGTGTGTGTGTGTGTGTGTGTGTGTGTGTGTGTGTGTGTGTGTGTGTGTGTGTGTGTGTGTGTGTGTGTGTGTGTGTGTGTGTGTGTGTGTGTGTGTGTGTGTGTGTGTGTGTGTGTGTGTGTGTGTGTGTGTGTGTGTGTGTGTGTGTGTGTGTGTGTGTGTGTGTGTGTGTGTGTGTGTGTGTGTGTGTGTGTGTGTGTGTGTGTGTGTGTGTGTGTGTGTGTGTGTGTGTGTGTGTGTGTGTGTGTGTGTGTGTGTGTGTGTGTGTGTGTGTGTGTGTGTGTGTGTGTGTGTGTGTGTGTGTGTGTGTGTGTCGCGACATTCATAACCCATAACAACAAAAATAACAGCAAAGAGAAAAAAAAGACATGCGAATAATTCGCAGCGAAACTCAACCAAACAAGACTCATAGTTCGATTAATATACAATAATGAAAACATTTCCTCACCATCCTAGTACACCCAGGTACCACTGGATCTCATTTAAAGCAGAAGTGTAAACCACAAACTCCGACTAAGCTGATCCAGAAGACTTAATAAAAGTGACAAACATACCGCTAAACTGCAAATGAGGGCGAAATATCATGAATATGACTAATAGAATCATTCAAATCAGTGCTCCGACATGACGCTCGATTACTGCAGGAAAACAAAGCAACATACTTTGCTTCAGGTCTTGTGACGCATAAAAAGGCTCACGTAGGAACGCCTAGACGCACACACAAAATCAAAGAGACTGCTAGACGTACACACATGTGCCACATCAGGAATCCGAACCCGACTTAGGTCCTACAAGGGAAGGCTTCCAACTTAACAAGGAACTTCTAACGGTAACCAGTGTAAATCGATAAGCCTCGATGAAGAGGTTACGAATGCGGAAATCAAGATTGTTACTTGAAACTTGAATAACTTGAGTTAAGATACTTTGCCGGAAATGTAATGGCGGTGGTGCGAATTCACATAAGAAGTGTTGGCCATAAGAACGGCAAAGTCGTAGTGACTGTTTTCGCAGGCCCAACTTGTGAGTATGCTTCATGTCGATTTCATCATCTATAATCGACAGGAGGTTCCAGTCCAATTTTCGACATTCCTCCGATATGACAGCCAAAAACAACGAATAAATGACACTAATAAGGGGTTCAACGACGCACCTCAAAACAAGAACCGAATACTATTCACCTTTTTTAAAGCACGTGCCGGGATAAACTAAGGCTAGAACCTCATAAACGTGCATGATGATCAAGCAGGCAACAGTAGAGGATATGCTGCTTTTAAAAGTTGAAAAACAGCAAGCAGAACGCACGGCGCTCATGTTTTAGGCCCATTGGCGCCCGATAGGCCCATGCCGGCCTCCGGTGACCGTGTCGTTGTGAGATTGCCATTGCGCTCTCGCCCGTCATTTTCTGGCCTCTCTCGTCTCTTATCAGTGTCTCGCCGCCTTTTGCAATCCACAATTGATCTTGACCACCTTACGCTCGTCCGGTGATCATGATCAATTGAAATAAAGAGGGTCTTATTGCGGGCGCTTTTTCGTGGTTCCTTAATAAGTCAACAATCACAGGGCAATTCTATCTTTGAACTGTGTAACCTATGATGTGTGGTCGAATTGCCTCCAATGAGCGCACAATCCTATGTTCGGACCTCAATTCCACTTTCGCTGCAACTATGTCCCAGAATGCTTACTGCGCTTACTTACTGTCCATATGCTTACTCCTCTGAACGCTAATACAATATTTAGAAATGGCTGGCGCCCGCGCTACACGTGCTGGCGTTAACGCTGGGGAGCGTCTCACCTTCCTTTGTGATTCGGACGTTTTCGCGCGAACGAGCGTCTTTTGTGTTTAGGGGCAGAAGCTACCCGTGGGAGCAATTGTTGAGTGAGTTTCACGGTTTGTGGTGTTTTAGCACCGCGTTTTCACAAGAAGCGGACGTAATATTCGTATTCTGTGGATCAAACTATCAGATTTGCGGCTAATCAGAGCATTCAAGTAAAACTTTGGAGTGCGGGGTCGTATAGACGAGTGTTACAGTCGTTATCACCGAAACCAGTCGCGCCGGGTGGATCCCGGCGCGGCACTAGCTCCTATCCCACCAATCACCGGGTGCCCGAAGTCACAAATCAACGGGAAATAGGCCGGCGCCAAAACCATACAAACCACAAGGCTCAGTTAACGTTTGACCCCACGGGTAGCTTCTTCTCCTGAACGCGACTATGATGTTCGTTTGACGCGAAAACGTCTGTGTTATAAACGATGATGTAAGGCGCTTTCACCAACGTTAAGGGCAGCTTGTGTAGCGTGGGCTTCAAGCATTTTCAAATGGCGTAATATTCGCGCTCAGCAAATCAAGGATCTCCTTTAGGACATGGTTTCCGTCAAATTGAAATTCAGGTCAAAAATTATAAATGCGCGGTTGTAAAAAGGTGAATGGTGCTTAGTCATATTTTCAGATGCCACGTCGAACCCTCAACTCGTGTCACTTGTTGTTTACGGCTGCTATACCATAGGACGGTCAAAAAACTGAATCAGAACCCTGTAATATAAGTGCAAAAACTTCCTTGTCTGTAGGAAGGACAGATACTCACAAGCTTTCCTGTGTGAAGCGAAAACGGCTAGTGACCAACATCTCTGATATGCATTCGCATCGCCATCGGATTCTCAGTAAACTAAGGTTAGTAACTAGCATTCGAGGTTCAGGCTGTAATTTGGTTTCCGCATTTGTAACAACCAGTAGAAGCTCCGATCGTTTTATCTAGGCTTCCGTTAACAGTTCATGGTAAATTGAAGATCTTCCCCAGTTAGTCATTTAACAGTGATTGTTCTCTCGTCACTTCTTTAGTTTTTTCGCAGCTTTTGCCAATAAACGAGTACGTTCATCCTGCAAAGCACGGATCTCCATATCCAGACGACGTAACTCTTGCGCTGCCAAATCTTCTACTTCGCGAGATCGCACATTCAGCTGAAACGGCATAAAGAACGTATTTTAGCAAACGCTTTATATCCTGTGGATGAGGTGCACGTGGCCGCGTACTTCATTTGAGCACGAGTGGCGGCGCTTCCAGGGATGATGCTGTTTTGGAATAATTGCAAACATGTCTTTGCCCAACAAAAGACAGGATGACAGTTGTCTCAAAAAGGCAAGATTCCACAAGAAATGCTCCTGCACTAGGTCCAGAGGAAGCATGCTGCCACACCCAACCATATCTAGGACATGGGCATAGTTTGTCACAAACTATACGTGGCATTGCACGCGAATCAGCTTGTCCTAGCCGTCAGTTCAACTAAGCTGTGAAAGCGTGCCTCCTATGGCGCTATTTTTTCCAGACGGCGGCCTGTAGGATTACGAACGCTATAACCTCACACCTGGTTTTATGACTGATGCATGACTGGTCGTGATTACAAACAGATACTGTCTGCATTCCAAGTTACGATTAAATGGGTAATAAAATCAGGCAAAAGTCATGGTAGACTACTGGGCCTGAGCGAGCGGAGATAGTCGCAGCAGTGAAAATGAATGAGGCCGTGGGACCCACACTGCCATGGTAATCAATCGCACGGGTTGAGCTAACAAGCTAAAGAAGCGTGATTCGCGGGCGATGCCGCCTCTTGGATGATCACATCGCTCCATATCTCGGGCGTGCATCTCATCAGAGCTGTACTCTCGGGATATGAAGCGTGACTACAACCACATCTATGCTGTACCGCTTCTTCTCTCTGCCGTAACTCAGCTTCCTTAGCTTCAAGAGTCCGCTGGAAATCCTCACGGATTTTCACCTCACGAACCGCGAACTCATCGTTGTATTCTCTCTGCTTCTGGAAAGAACGTCGAACTGTAACTGTCCAAAATATCATCATGGAGGCTGCCACTCACCGAAGGTGAATTTCTCTACCATTTTTGGTCCAGTGTCACCATCTCCCATGTGCATGCTTCGTAAACGTTCACGCCGATAATTCTCGTATAAGACCTGAACGAATAAAACTATGAGCCAACACAAGACATAAAAAAACAATCAACACAATTAGTTCGTCCAAAAATCAGTGCTTTATCCCTTCCAGGAAATTCAGAACCCAAAAAGATTGATTCCAGATCTTGCTAACTTATAATTTTTGCATCGTTTGTGAAGACCCAATAAACACTCGCTCAGGACATAAAGTACTGATCCTTGATCAAACACTATGTCACGCGAAAGGTCGTGCGACATTTGTGCGATATTTTGAAACTGTTCTAGAGAAAAAAATTCACATTCCACACATTCTGGTTCCCATTTAGTGTGTAGTGGTCGTGGAGCCTGCGTAAACCTTAATGGATCTTACAGGACCTTAACAGATCATGCTACTTCTCCAACCTTTTTGTATATATGATTTCTTCAAAGGCTAGTCTGCTGCTGTCGAGATAACTAACATCCATGTTGTATTTAATCCATTCGTAACAATGTCAGCCACTGTGATGGATACGAGATGAGACTGCGTCCATAATGATTTACGGCTTTTACTGGAATTTCCAGGAATGATTCTATTTTCCTGAGGCTTGAAGCGTAACCGAATTCGACCACTACCATGTTGGCAACAACTCTAAAGTGCACCTACACGACGATTATCAAACTTGTTCGTAAATCCCGGTATGAGAGTATACTTCGCTATGAAGAGACCATGAAATCATCTGATAAGGTGGTCCAAGTGGTGGTGGCCGAAATTCTCCATCCTTGCAGACACTGAGATGCTTGACTAATGCGGTGGACAGTTGTGAGGGCCAGGTCCTTTATGTAAACGTACACATGAGCTCCTCAGTATTGGTCAAGGAGAAATGTTGCGCAGAACCAAAACAGATATGATCCCAAATGATAATGCTGCATACTGTTATACCATTGTTAGTAGTTGAAAGGTGACCGACTTCTCGCTCGAACACATTCGAGGGACCTAAATTCTCTCAAATCCACGACAAAACGCACTCGCACGTGATGATTAAAGGCACATTCCGCGATAAAATAAGGCTATGACCTCTCAAATGTGTCGGACGATCCGGAAGGCGATTTTTGAGGCTGCGCTACTTTCAAAATGTGAAAAACGGCAAGAACTCCGCTAGAAGCTGACTAATTAGGCCCATGGACACCCCTTAGGCCCATGCCGACCCTCACCGGCTGCTAGCTACTAGCCCACTATGTTATCTTTCTCTATAACATTTCGGACTGCTTTTTCTGCTGCTTTTTAATTCACGGCTCGTGAGCAACTGGCCTGAAGTCCTCCGCTACTGTTCATGAGCTGACCTCGGTTTTTGTAAGGCTCCGAAGGAGCCGATATCGTGGAAGCGTTAGCCGCAGATACCTATTACCAACGTCAAATCAAGTTCGAGCAGAATAAATCTGATACTGTTACGATGCCGAGGATCATCGAGAGTCGTACCTGTCGACAAGGATGTTTCATGTCATCTCTTTCTTAAAGGCAAGTGGCATGATGTATGCCCAACGTGCCGGACTAGCACACCCAGCAGGACAGAATTTGGCGCCCCTGGCAGGCGCTGCGTAGCGCCTTTTTCAAAGAAGGCTCCTGTACAGCACCCTGTCAAGCTGCAAAACATCGACCCGGAAGTCCAACCCACAAATGTCTGACCGATGTTGATGCTCGTACCGGTTCATTTGCGAAATACAATACGAAGCGAACAGACTGCTATGAAGCGGTTGCCTTTGCATGGAAACATACAGACACAATTTTCGTTTTTTTCATCGTTTCACTTTGCTTGATCCTCATTTCGTCGCTGTAAGCACCCTGCTAGCACCTTGGACCGTGTACCAAATTAGGGTTTTCAATGAATTGGTTAAGAACTGCACAAAAGATATGCGAAGTGAACGGTGAACTGGTGTCCATGAGAACAAATAAAAAAGTAGGATTGTAGGGACACCGATCCCGCAGCTATGCATCGTACTATTCCCTGCTGAGCTCGGATGGAGATCGACTGCATGCAGAACCTATCTCCAGTTTTTGAATAGTTCTAACCGAGTGAAGGCACAATGAGTGCAGACGAAGGCGTCAAACTCCGTTTTAGTGAACTGGAGCTGACAAAAACTGAATCATCTTTGATAAAGCATGGTGCTTCACAGAGCACAAAAATTCTGTTGGAGAAACGAAAGTCACTGACAAGAGATCAAGTCTCACACTAAACTTCAGGTTAGGCAAAATGCGTTACTTATAGGCTAACACAATATTTCAGCACATTTATACAACTGCAACCTACGTTATGGGTCTTCTCCCGTAGTGCATCAACATTTGTGCGAATGAGCGCTTCCCTGAGTTTCACAAAGTCGCAGTGCTGTTCATTTTCCACTGAAATTAGGTTTTTTCTCACAGTAAGTTCCGATCTGAGTTTGTGGTAATGAAGACGTTAGGCTGCGTTCGTACTCTGCAGCAGCGTTCACCAGCAATAAGCAGCGTTTAGCACCGACCACCGAGGAGGGTAGCAGACAGTAGATTTGGGAGCATATATATATATATATATATATATATATATATATATATATATATATATATATATATATATATATATATATATATATATATATATATATATATATATATATACAGGGGGGCCAAAAAAAAGTCATTTTGCCTCCATGACTTTCAAGGCGCTATAAGTTACACTTTATTAAATTTTTATCGGACATTTTTAATACCATATTAAAGAGCACATTAAATACTATAATGATACTCCGCCGCAGCCTTCTGGAGGAGCGCCATCGAGAGATTCGGCCGCGCGAAAGTGAGTGGGTACCGGAGTTGAGCGAGATCGTTGATTTCTCCGCCACCGTAGACCACCCTGTTTTTTTTGAACTCCCCCGAACGGTAATTGAGGATACAGGGCCGACGTGATCTACCTTTTGATATTCTACCTTCCTTTTAGGTATTCAGCACCGCCTTTCATTTCCAAATAGCGGGGAGAGTTTTCTAAAAACCCTTGATTTTTCCCCATGTGGCGCACCCAACCTGTAGCAGCACAAGGTCTCCAAGAAGGTACGGGCGACCACATGTAGGGAGGATATTCTTCTCGAGTTACTTGATGTAACCGCCAGCGCTCACCTTCAGTCGGGGTCTACAAAGAAAATATCGGTCTTCCCCTTTCCAGGTACCCCGGTCCATACCATCAACTCGCGCCTCGGCGAATACGGTGAAGATGATGTCCTAGACCGTAGCGACGTTGCCGTAAGCTGGTCGATGTGGGAGGTCTTGCAGGTCAAGAGTACTGACCTCCAGGTGACCATCCATGGGTGTTCCATTCAAGAAAGTTTCGCAGCTGTTTGGAGGCCTCGTGTGAATTCCAAAGGTGTTCTCCAGTCAGGCCGCGACTGGAGATGACTTCATATTTTGACGTACATGAAGGCGATTGGCGGCAGCGTGCTCCAGCTTATAGAGGAAGATCTTGGGTATCTTCCACTCTGGTACTCATATCCACTTCCCCTGTCTGGGCTGCGAAAACTTCGTTGATATGTGGCTCGGCCGAAATGACTTTTTTTTGGCCCCCCCTGTATATATATATATATATATATATATATATATATATATATATATATATATATATATATATATATATATATATATATATATATATATATATATATATATATATATATATATATATTAGGTTGTTCGAAAAGTCCTGCGACACTTTGTTTGAACTATTCTAGAAAAAGACCAAAAATCATTTTGAATGTTTTTATCTCTGATTAGTGGAGAATGTCTCCTGAGGTTTCTGAAAATGGGTATATCATGGCTCCGTGGAAGTTTTCAAAGCTTAAAAATACCTCAGAGATCGAGGTACTTCTTCGACCTATCCCATATTATGAGTTCCTGTAGGGCAACTCCGCCATAGTCGAGGAAGCTAACACTTACGTTGTCTTGAGGAAGGATATCGCTTGCCATAGCAGAGAGTTCCTTTTGCATCAGCGCTTCCAGGCTGGACTTATTCAACTCGGAAGTAGGCAATGTATAGGTCGGCCACCAGCACAGAATGACGGCCCTTTACTCAAGCTTCTTGAGGCGCAGCCGAACGTAACCACCAGTAAGTTGGCAACCTCTCTAGGCTCCACCTAACTGACAACTGCCATGCTTCTCCGCAGTCTCGGTTATCGGAAAAATTTTTTATGAAGGATGCCTCATGAGTTGAACCCCTCTGACAAGTCATACCGAATGACCGTGACTGAGTTTTTTTTTCCTTGTACACACTGGAGGAACATTTGTGAGATCTTGTGGTTGGTAGAGAGTGGTGGGGTCCTTGCGTACATCTTGCACATGTTCCTCGCAGGATCTCTCAAACAGAAAAGTAGATTGCACAGCCAAAAGCAGATGTGCATGGGATAAAGATTTCAGTAGGTTATTGGTGGGACTTCAAAGCGGTATCTCTGGATACTAGCATAACGGTAAGGACTACAGTCCACTCTAACCAACCTCACAACATGGATGACGTCACGCTTGAATTCTTCAAAAATACTCAATTTTTCTCTACCGCTCGGCAATGCGAAGACCGCATGTTAGGATCAGGCCACACCAAAAGATCGTGGATCTTGATCTGAGAATGCGACCATACCCAGCTTATTCATCAAAGTTAGCAGTCTCTAACTACTACCTTTTTTGATCCCTACCGCATCCTTAAGAAGGCAAAAATTCCGAAAATCGACGTCTACTCAAAAATGAGGTCCACCTCTTCTTATCATAGTTGCCGTAGTTCTATAAGAATGGAAATGAGAAGCTGTGCAAAAGAAGGGCACTAGTCCTAGTCCTTAGTGGTGATTACCTTGTAGATTGGAGATGTCTTTTAGTGACTGAAAATTTAGTCCGAAAAATTGGTCAAAGTGTCGCAGGACTTTTCGAACAACCTAATATATATATCTTCTTCTTCTTCAGCGTTTGTCCCGCTTGATCGCGGGGTCCGCTCTTTTGATACAACTACGCCACTTTTCCCGATTGGATGCCTGATCAGGGTGGATGCCGGCTATTTTCAAGTCGGTATGCAACGTGTCGAGCCAGCGCTGTTTGGGACGCCCTTTGGCCGCTTTCCTGGTACCTCGAGTTCGAGAGCAGTTTTCCGGACGGTGTCAGCCTTTGCGCGAAGTACGTGCCCATACCATCGAAGGCGCGTTTCACGCATTTTCTCCGTTATGGGGGCTACACCATACTTCTTACGCACGACATCATTACAGATGCGGTCCGATCGCGTGACGCCCGCCGTCCAGCGCAACATCTTCATCTCCATCACACCAAGGCGAGCCT